ACCCCTCACCACTACAGTAAGATTATTTCACACATTTGTAATACAGTTAGATTATGTTTTCATAGCGTGCATTCCATCCTGGGATCCCTTAATCTCCTAAATGATTTTTTTAAATTTGCATACATTTAAAAAATAATGTCAGCAGTTTTTGTCTCTTTTAGTGTCCCAGCTTGACTCCAATGCAGACCAACATACTTGTTCGTAATCTCTCCCAAAGTCAGCAGGGACTGTAATGATGCTTCTTGGACTTGGGACCAGGAAATTTTTGCTGTATTTTCCTTAAGAAGATGCTTAGTCTCACAAAGGAAGAAGTGAAATGACTTTCAAAACTTTATAAAAAATATGTGATGGTAAAGTTGACATCCCTGTCATGGGTCTGGAATCGATTTCCCTTCTCTAGGTTTCTTTAGATACCTGCCTGGGTTTTGTTCCTGGTCCCCGGTCCATTCCTTCCTTCACTACATTTACTTTTCCTCATCTTTTATTTTATCTCATAATAAAACTACTTAACACCAGGTTGACTAACTGTGAGCTTCATTTGTTCCCTTAAAATAAAGCTTATATTAAATACTTACCAAGTAATTACTAATACATGCTAAGTTCTCTTACTTTCTGATTACCAAGTGAAGAAAAAATTGTGATTATTCTGACCTTCTCTATATAGGGCTTAAATGAAATAAACCCATTTACTAGCATAGAAATTTTTGGAAGCTGTCTCTTTGATCTAAGTATTCTCGGTATATTAATTTTTTATCCTGAAACTTTACTGAATTTGTTGATGAGCTTTAATAGTTTTCTGGTGGCACCTTTAGCATTCTCTATGTATAGTATCATGTCGTCTGCAAACAGTGACAGTTTTACTTCTTCCTTTCCAATTTGTATTCCTTTTATTTCTTTTACTTCTCTGATTGCTGTGGGTAAGACTTCCAAAGCTGTTGAACAAAAGTGGTGAGAATGAGCATCCTTGTCTTGTTCCTGACCCTAGAGGAAATGCTTTCAAATTTTTACCATTGAGTATGATGTTAGCTGTGTGTTTGTCACACATAGACTTCATTATGTTGAGATAGGTTCCCTCTATGCCCACTTTCTGGAGAGTTTTTATCATAAATGGATGTTGATCTAAGTATTCTCAATAAAGCTGCCCTTTTACCCTCCAAAAAGGTTTTGCATATATTAAGGATCACCTTTTGTGCTGGTAAGTTCTACTCTCCACTCAAGGAGCTGACGTAACTCCCACCCCATTAAGTATGAGCTGTACACAGTGACTTCCTTCTAAAGGGTGCAGCATGGAAGGGGTGGGGAGGAGAGTAACTCCACAGTGGAGAACTTGACAAATGCCAACTCAGCCAAGTGATTAAGGTTAACATCACCAGTTTTAAGTCATATTGATAACAAGTACCCTCAATATGATGATGTGATGAGAATGGCAATTAGCTCTGTGATCTTCCTCCCCAAAACCCATAACCTCAGTCCAATCCTAAGGAAAACATCCAAGGAACCCCAAATGAGGGACAGGGTACAAAATACCTGACCAAATTGTCCTTCAAACTGTCAAAGTCATGAAGAACAAGGAAAGTCTGAGAAACAGTCCCAGTCTTGAGTAGCTTAAGGAGACAAGATACCTAAATGTAACATGGTATCCTGTGTAGGATCCTGGAATAGACATAGGACATCAGGTAAAAGCTATGGGTATCTGAATACAGTATAGACTTTAGTTAATAATAATATATTAATATTGGCTACTAATGGTGACAAATATACCATAATAATGTTAATAATGGGGGAAATGGGTAAAAGGTGCATGGAACCAATCTTCTTAACTTTTCTACAAATCTAAAAATATTCAAAAATTAAAAGTTTATTTTAAGAAACAGAAAATAAGGCAGAAGAAAATTAGATCTGATGCCTTAAGAAAACAAGGACTTGTAAATTTGAGAAAAAGAGACTGTTGGGGCAATGTTGCTTCATTTAACTTATAAAATATATTTTTCCTACTAAGAAATCTTGTAGGGTGTTTGACTTGTTTTTTTTTTTTTTTTAACATATAAAAGTAGGGCACTGCCTATGAATCTAGTCAGTAAGAATGACCCAAAGGAACTCATCTCTGAAGATGCATTTAGATTGGATTTCTTACCTTGAGAATGAACTGATGACCCAAAAACCTTATTTCAAATGCTAATCAGCATATATTAAACAGAAGAATTTTATATTCTGGAATACAATCTAGGTCCTGTAATTGGTAATTGGGGTGTAAGTTCATGTCTATTTTTCTTTGGTATTATTACTCTGAAACACTTAGACTATTTTTTGAGAGTGAAAACTGTGGGTTACTCAACCCTATTATGTGCTCAAAACCTATATAGGTTTTTTTTCCCTTTATTGTGGTAAAATATGTATAACATAAAATTTTCCATTTTAACTGCTTTTAAGTGCATAATTCAGTGACATTAATTACATTCACAATGTTATACAACAACCACCACTATCTATTTCCAAAATTTTTTCATCACAACAGTAACTCTGTACACATTAAACCGTCGCTTCCTATTCCTCCTCCTGCCAGTCCTGGTAACCTCTAATCTACTTTCTGCCTCTATAAATTTGCCTATCCAAGACACTTAGTATAAGTGAAACCATACAATATCTGTCCATTTATATCTAGCTTATTTCACTTCGCACAACGTTTTCAAGGTTTGTCCACATTGTAACGTGTCAGATCTTCATTCCTTTTTATGGCTGAACAGTATTCATAGTAGGTACATACCACATTTTGTTTATCCATTCATCTGTTGATGGATATTAGTAGTATTGTTATCTTTTGACTATTCTACACAATAGGCTTTGTAAGTGTAAGTCTTTAAAAAAAATAATTTGTTGAACCTTCCTGGAATGCAAAACTTGGCTTAATTGTAGTTACCATCAATGCCTTTCATTTGATGCCAAAGAAGTAAATATGCTAGAAATGAATCAGTGTATTTTGTGTCACTTGCATTTTCATAGGTGGCTCTAGAGACCCCAGGCCAAAGTTATAGGGGAACAGGTCACATTCTTCCAGAACAACTTGCTTCTCTTGTCTGTTCTTTTATGTTTGGTTTGGTTTTTGCACAACTCTTTTAAATGTTATGCTCTTGCCTTATTCCCTTTTCTTTCTCCCTTTCGTCACGACTATATTATCGTCAATAAACTCGGGTAATTCACATTTCAGTTGAGGTATGTTGATTATTAATTAGCATACCAACTACCACCATAGCCTTTAAATCAAGTTCTGCCGACTGGCATGATTAACCAAGTTGTATGGATGACAGGAACATGAACTTGAGGGCTTGTGATCGCTAGAACTTACCTGTGGAATTTGCACACCCCAAATGCAACTCCTTGTTTCCCTTAAAGTAGATTCTCTAGATTTTGTCCCTTAGTTAGCAATATTACTAGTCACCTCATCACCCAAGAAAGACCCCAGGGAATCATTCTTGACACCCTCCTCTTTCTCACTCCCTAATATAAAGCCTACAGATTTCGCCATGTGTAAATATTTATCACATTGTCCATTGCTCTCTATTCCTCTATTTCCAATTGCACAGCTATAATGGAAGGCCTCAACACTCCTTGCAATTCTTCTTGGAGACATAGACAAGAGGGGTCCTTCTCCAGAGGCTGTGCTATAGAGAGAGCAGCATATCACAAACACAAAGAGTTGTTGATGAACACGCAGTGACTGTCACTTAGGACATGGTGCTCAGCACTGAAATAGTCAACCCATAACCCCAAACATCCACTTTTGAAACTAACACTGTTCAAGCCCCAAGGAAACCCTTCTCCAATCTCTTCTCCACATCTCTTCCCTTAAGTTCCTGAAACAAAATGCAACCAACCATGCGAATGCTATTAAAGGTGAGAGTTGTGTCATTACCTAGATAAGTGAAAAAACGCTTCTCCCTTCACGTTGCTGAGGAATTTAAGTAAGCAGATGCTTAGGTGAAAAGAAAGACAAATTAATAAACTTGATGTGGTGAAATGAATTGTGTCCTCTCAAAATTCATATGTTGAAGTCCTAACCCCACTACCTCAGAATACGACTGTATTTGAAGAGTCTTTAAAGAAGTAATTAAGTCAAGATGAGGTCATTAGGGTGGGCCCTAATCCAATACAACTGGTGTCCTTATAAGAAGAGGAAATATAGACATAGACACACACAGACTATAAGACAAGGAGAGAGGCCTCAGAAGGAACCAACCCTGCCGACCCTTTGATCTTGGACTTCGAGGACCCAGAACTAAGGAAATAAATTTCTGTTGTTTAAGCCACCCAGTCTGTGGTACTTTGTTATGGTAGCTCTAGCAAGCTAATACACTTGCCAAAGTATTTCCTCTCAGATGGCATAACTGAATATTTGTTCCCAGTATGCCATTTTTTTTTGCTTCTCTTTGTGTTCCAATTTATGGTTCTGAGTAGCACCTTCAGAGTTTAGCCCTGTGCCTCTACCTTAAAGAACTCCTTTGACTATGCCTTTCCTCATGGGCCTAGGAGTACAGAGGGCCAAGAAGTGCCTATGAAGCCTCATCTCCTCCCGTTCCAGAAATCCCTGTCTTAGTAGCCTTGAACCCATCACCAAGGACTGTGCCAGCCTTTCTCAAATCCTTCCCCAGGAAGATGGACGAACCACTGCTGTGTATATACCTAAGCCTGAGAGACACCCAGAGCAGCTGTTTATGGGTGATACAGTTGGAGTATGGACACGTAGACTGGAATGTCCACATGTAAGTGTGCAAGAGCCACACAGTATGTGATGGAGCAGGAAGGTGGCAGGAGAAGGGGATGAAGTGTGGAGCTGAAGCTTCAGGCCAGCTTTGCTTGTGCTGTGACCTTCTGACATGGTTCTCTGAGAAGCTCAGTAGCTCTTAATTTGAATCTGAACTTTCAGGTCCTTAAGAAGGTATATTCATCAAAAATTGGGGAATAGCACATATTTTATTTTATGATTTGTTAATACGATTTGTAACCTTTATATACGTAGACATACGACACATGAGTCTTCATATCTTGCTTCAGACCCCACGAATATTAGGATTAGGCTTGGCGGCTCTGGAGGGATGCACAAATTAGAGCAATATCTGCCACAGTTGCACATAGAGCCTGGGGAAAAATTTGCAGTATTAAATAATTCATATTACTCTTAGATTTGTATATAGGCACATTGGTCTAGACAGAGAATGTGTGACACATGATATTACACTTAACATTAGCAATGAGGTGGATATTAAAATTAAAATTGCAAATACTCATGTTCTTATAAACATTTGATATGATTTCATTGTTTTTTAAAAATTCAACAAAAATATTGTCTTGTTTAAATTATTTTAACTCTTACTGTGCTTTATCATTAGTATTTTGTTTTACATTTTAATTAATTATATTAAATATTTCAAAATAAAAATACATTTTAGACTATAGGTAACTTTTTTTACATGATTATGATTTATAATTTTTGACAATACATTAAAATTTTGTACATTTTCTAGAACGTTCATACATTTTGATTATAATTACATTTTCTTTTTTATTATTTTAGAATAAGCAAAAAATGTGATTTATGATAGAAATAGAAAATGCAACAGTGGAATGCAGATAAGATATAAAAAGGAAACAAGAAATAGAAAATCTTCTAAAAGGCAATCTGCTTAAATTTTTAAAAACTGGACACAATAAAAGTGAGCAGGTTTTTATTGAGTGTGTCCCACATAAAAAGTTTGAATAACACATCACAAATTTTTTGTTTAATGAGGATTTAATTATTGATCAAAACAATGAAAATGAACAAGAAAATTATTCTAATAGAATCTACAACTTGGGAAGAGGTCCAATGAAATCCCTGCAAATTCACATTCTTTACTAAGTAAATTAGTGACTGAAACAATGAAAACCTCTGAGGTCCTCCTTGACATTTGTCCTAGTGCCTTGTGTCATTCCCAAAGATAGCCTCGTCACAGACCTCTGTCCCCACTCTGTCCTATGTGCTGCTGTTAGAGTGGGCTACCTGACCCCATCCACTGAAAGCAACCTGCCACCCCGTGGAGCACAGCTGCCCAAGGGCAAGTCCTACGTGTTGTTGATGACGCTGGAGCCGGTGAAGGTTTCTGTGGTTACACAAGTTGGAGAAACTGTATGCAGTACAGCCACTTTACTTCTGGAAGACTTCTCAAGGACTTTAATATATTAATCCCTTGTTTAACTCTCTAGGAGGGATCTATATCAGGCAGATCTCCCAAGTGTTTTCACTGAAAAGTTTGTAGGACTGGTGTTCTTAGGAAGGTTGGTCTAGAGCATTCCCCAATGTGGTAGCCATGAGCCACGGATGGCTATCAAGCACTTGTAATGTGGCTAGTCTGGATTAATACAAGTTCTAAGAATAAAACAAACTGTATTTCAAAGACTTAGTACAAAAAAGAATGGAAATTACCTCAGTAATAATTTTTATATTGAATACATGTTGAAATGATAATATTTCTGATATATTGCATTAATAACATATATCACTCAACAACAACAAGAAAAAAACAAACTCAAAGATACAGAGAACAGGGCTTCCCTGGTGGCACAGTGGTTGAGAGTCCACCTGCCGATGCAGGGGACACGGGTTCATGCCCCGGACCGGGAAGATCCCACATGCTGTGGAGTGGCTGGGCCCGTGAACCATGGCCGCTGAGCCTGTGCGTCTGGAGCCTGTGTTCCACAATGGGAGAGGTCACAACAGTAAGAGGACCGCGTACCGCAAAAAAAAAAAAAAAAAGATACAGAGAACAGATTGGCGGTTGCCAGAGGTGGGAGTTGAGGGAGGTACAAAATGGGTAAAGGTGGTCAAAAAGTACAAACTTCCAGTTATAAAATAAGTAAGTCATGGGAATGTAGCATATACCATTGTGACTGTAATTAATGATACTCTATTGTATATTTGAAAGTTGTTTAGAGAGCAGATCTTAAAAGTTTTCATTGCAAGAAAAAAAATTGTAACTCTGTGGTAAGGGATGTTAACTTGACTTACTGTGGTGATCACTTTGCAATATATACAAATATTGAATCATTATGTTGTACACTTGAAACTAATATGCCAATTATATCTCAATGTTTTTAAAAAATTCAATATATATATATATATAGACTAATAGATCGCTAAAATTAATTTTACCTGGTTCTTTTTCTTTAATGCAGTTACTAGAAAGTTTTAAATTCCACCCATGGTTTGCATTTTATTTCTTTTGGACAGCAATCATCTACAAGACAACATGATACATAAGACCACTCAGGATCTGGCATCTAGTAATCTCTCCAGAACTTTCTTTCAATACTATCTCCCTTTGAGATCTAATTGTTACACACTGTTTAAAGAAATCCCTCCCTATCCCTACCAACCATGACCATGAGCAGTACCAAATGTCGTAACTCTTCTATTTGTTCATTTCAACTCCTGGAACTACATCAGGCTAATTCTTGTTAAGCCTTTAGGTATCAAGCATCAGTCACTCATACAGGAAGCCTATGCTGAAATCCAGACATACCTATCCCTTAGCCTGGTTAGGTGACCTTCCTCCAAGCACCCGTAATTTCCTTCTAAACCTTTAACCTGTACTCACTACATGTCTGTATAAGCATCTGCTTATGTATCTCACTCTTCTTCATTAAGCATCTTGAGAGCAGAGACACGTCTTACTTTTTTTGGCTGCATGGCGCAGCATGCGGGATCTTAGTTCCCCGACCAGGGATCAAACCCGTGTCCCCTGCAGTGGAAGTGTGTAGTCCTAACCTCTGGACCACCAGGGAATTCCCTTTATATTTCATATTCCTAGCTCCTATCCCAATGGAAGAATGAACGAATGACTCAAGAATGAAGCAGATATTGTTCCTCCCCTAGTGGAGTGCCATCAAGAAGATGAAGCAGATAGGTGAATAGATAGTTCAAATGTGTTGCTTTAAATTGTGTTATAAATGATACTGAGAATTGTAGGGAAACTCTGAGCAGAGAACTTAAGTGGGGTCAGTTTTATGGGTAGACAAACTGTACTGTAGCACAGGTTACATAGCAACTGATTTGTTTTTATCCCAGATAAACATACTCACCTACTATTGGATATCAAGTCACTATGAGATGAAAAATATCATCTATATTTTTTTCTGATGTCTCTATTAAACAACTAGTTAAAAGTAAAATTTTCAGTTCTTTGGGAGAATGAATATAGTTTATTATAATAAATTAAAAGATGTTATTTTCTGTTCTTTTTATTTTTTATTTAATTAGTTAAAACCAGTCAATGTACATACACAAAAATTTAAATACTATTTAAATACTAATTTAAATTTAAATACTATTTAAATTTAAATAATTCACCATTGTTTTCCCCACTTCAAGTTACATGTTATATGTTATCACCTCTACCAAATTATTAATTTTAGGCCTCAATCTCTGCATAATAATACAGATGTCTCCCCTTCCCCAGTATAAAATGAACATGATATTCTTTTACATAGGAAAAAACAGCACTGGTATTTGAAGTTAATTTTTGTTTTTATCAAAGGTTTTCTACTGTCTATAAACAAAGACAGTCTTGTTTCCAGTTTGACTCCCTGGCTCCTGAATTCTGTGTCAAAGCCTATAGCCTTAATGTTTAGTATTTCCTTCCATAAATTGAGAGTTTTCACACATATTAAGAATTCTCTTAATGGTTCATTCAACATTGTCCTGGTAATAAAATACAATGTGGCATTATAAGTTTCCTTCTTAGTGCTTATAATCCACTAACCTTTGTAATGTTCTTCTCCCTAAGATTACTTCCACATCATTTATCTTTTACAATTCCTAGCATCAGCAGTAGAAAAAGAAATGACAAGATTATCCTCTAAAATATTAGCTGAACGCAGGCTTCCATAACCAACACTGATAATTAAATTCAGCTAGTTGTTTTATTTATACTATATTGTTTAAAAGTTATTTTATCCTGAATGCCTGGCTTTTTGATAAAATTCATTCATTCAACAAATATTTATTGAGTGATTCCTACATGCTAGTGTTTTTCTAGGCTCTGAGGACACAGCAGTGCACAAGACACAATAGTCCCTGGCCCAAAGGAGTTGATAATCTCATGCAGGAAACACTAAATAATAAGTACATAAAAATCTCAGATGATGCTCTGAAAAGACATAAATGCTGTGAGAAAATGAGAATAGGGAAAGGTGATCTGACAAGAGGGGTCAGGAAGATGCACCCACCTTGAGTGTTGTGTGGCCATGATTCACCTTGACCGCATCATGACCACATTAATCTCATCTTGCCAAAGCTTTTGCTGGCTCGGGAGTCACTTAATGAATATTATAACTCTTCTACTCTTGCTGTTCTTGTGTCTCTTACTCACATTATATACTGTTTCTATTATTTTTCGGCCACCTCTAAGACCACATAAATGATGGGCTCAGAAATCTTTCTTTCTTTCAGGAAGAAAGCTCAGAAATATTTCAGTGAAACGAATCTATTTGTTCAGTTTTTCTTGGTTTAATCCCTTGGGGCAAGTGTCATTTGATGGAAAAAAAAAAGAACATGAAGTCAGAAAATTTGGCTTTGAACCTATTCCTACTTATTGGCTCTTACTTAACCCAAGTCATGGCTTTCTTTTCTTCAAATATGGGAAAAATGATGCCGCTGTGAGGTGTTAACTGAGAATTAACACATGGATCATCTAGCAAAGCGGAGGGCACTCTTCTGAGTATTGACTTTCCATCAGACAGCCAACAACTCTGCCAAAAACGCAAGACCCACCCTGTTCTCTAAAAGACCGAGGTGAAATTCTCATTAATATAAGCATTCAAGTTCTAGAGACAACACAAAGGTCATGTTTGGATGAAGCAAAAACTCAGGAATAAAAAGTAGTCATTTAGATATGAGAAGTCTATTCTTGTTCCATTGGCAAGAAAGTAAATGAAGAACAAATCCACACACAGAAAAAACAAAATCTTGATTCACTGGGATCAGGAAGTCATCCTTGACTTCTCTTACCTCTCACATCCTATGGATTACCAAATCCCATCAATGCTGCCTCCTTAAGGTCACTTTCTATTCCCATAGCCTATTCTTAGCTTACACTGGCAGC